CATGGAATACGGGACGCGCGTTTCCTCCTATTTGATACCTGTCAGCTGCATGTACCTGCATATGAGTTGATGTTCACTCTGGGACTCGAACCCAGTACCGTTCACTTCAAACACTATCACGTTATCCACTTACCTACTGAGTCCCGCCTATAATGCTTGTGGATCACGGCAATACTCGCAGTGTGTACATATGCCAATAAGAGACTGATCAATTGCAGTCCTAAACATAATTAGGAAGATTCAAGTATATAACAATACCAAGTGAATTTATATGAGTTAGAATTTATGAGTAATAGCTTTGTTTTGCTATCGATCGAATACCAACTCTTAATTATAAAGTTATTATGATTTAATTTCAGAGAGGAAAAAAAAGACAAAGATCAAGGAACACATTGCGTTGGCAATTGAAAGTAGACATCAAAAGAATGAATAATATCCAAGAAAGGATTGTTCAGGACGGTCTATGCTCCTTCACGAAAGGTAGCAGGCATACATAAGTATGTATTATTCAATCTTAGTTATGTACATAAGTGTTACATTTTTTATTATCACCAACATTTAAATAAATATTTTTATTTAATGATAGACATATTAATGTAACAATAATATCTGTGTATATTCTTCACCTTTCTATACATTGTATTACCTTTTATTAGAATGTTGAAAACATTCAGTATATGTCTGATTAAACTGTCTACATTGGATTACATGAATAAATAATATGGATAGATAGATTATTTTTAATGAACTATGTTGTCTTAATTATTTTGATTGATAACCTTGAGAGTATTTACAAATAGACAAACTATTGTGATATAAATATTCGGATGTTATATTGATGAAAATAAAACTGTACTTATATATATATATATATATATATATTATTATATATATATATATTATATATATATATATATTTCAATGGTTGAATCAATTGAAACTAGACCACCATGGAAAACCTGGAAGCACTGGACGACCGTTTCGTCCTATTGTGTGACTCCTCAGCAGTGCGATGCCATGGTCCCGCCTCATGAGATCAGAACCCAGGATCTGTCAGTCCTTTCTGATACATATATATATATATATATCTTCCATAATACATTTAAAATTATCCTGATTTGATGTTGTGGAGATAGCGATTTGGAAAGCCCCTCTGTAGCTACTGCCTGCCTCAAGCTCGGATAAAGGAGGAGGATTGGGCACGGGATTAGCGACCCAATCCCGTAGAAAACTAACTCGCTAAAAAAAACGCTAACCAGAAAAAAATAATTCAAACCATTTAAACACTGCCGTTGACCAGACACTATCAGCATCGACAACTACAGTGAGAGAGAACAAATCAGATTCCACTGGTGGAAGAAAGCAAGAAGAAGAGCTGGAAGTGGATAGAAAACACATTGAGGAAAGCACCAAACTGCGTCACAATGCAAGCCTTCACATGGAATCCTCAAATCCAAACGAGGAGAGGAAGACGAAAGAACGCATTACACTGAGAAATGGAGACAGACAGATATGAGAAAAATGAGCAAAAGTTGGAGAGAACTGGAAAGTGAGGCCCAGAACGTCGTGGATTGGAGAATGCTGATCGACGGTCTATGATCGATTGGTAGTAACAGGTGTAAGTAATTCAGTAATAGTTCTACCATGAAACTCGGGAGTAGTAGGGATAAATGATCCCATCAGGAATTGAACCAGCACTATTTAGGCCTATGAATGGTGGGACCAAAACATCAAACTATTAAGATCGAATTCAAAGATGACTTGTGTAGAGTTATTTAATAGACTGAAGCGGTAGTTTTGTGTTCAAAGAATTGTAAACAAGCAAAGTGCAAATCAAAAATCTGATTCACAAACTTTGTTAAAGAACAGCCTAATAATATTACGAGGCATTGCACAATGAAAGTATTCGCTCAGAACCAACTACGTAAACGCGAATTTTTTTCACATGAGGAAATCTTTCAGTAAAAGAATATTTAACTGTGTTCAAAATTACCTCTTCCGTATTTCTTATAATAACCAATAGTGATCGTAGTTTTTATGAATCCTTACCCTATACAGAAGCCTGTGAATCAGTAGGCTTCAACATGCACAAGGGAAAAACCAAGATCCTGTAATACAACACGAAGAAAACTAACCCAATCACAAGGACACATGGAACTCAAAACGACTATCTGCCAGACAACATCAAAGTCAGAATTTTCAATAAGAACGTTAGGACAGTCCTACTACACGAGGAACTGGAACTTGGAGAACTACTACAAACATCAGTGAAAAAGCACAAGTATTTTTAGACAATCGTCTTCGTACGACACTCAATATCCGTTAACTAGATATCATGAGCAACAATATACTATTGAGGAGAAGGCAAACTAGGTTCAATCTGAAGAGGAGAACAGGAAAAAACAATAGAAGTGGATAGGACATTCGTTGCGGAAATCACCAAACTGCATCACGAGGCAAGTGTTAGCTTGGAATTTTGAAGAGAAACGGAAAGGAGAAAACCAAGGAATACATTGAGCCAGGAATTAGAAGCAGACACTGCAAGAATGAATAGTAACTGGAAAGGATTGCTTAGGACAGAGCAGGAGAATGCTGCTGAACGGACTATGCTCCTCCACGATGGGTAACAGTATATGTCAGCAAGTAAGTATCTTATACAGAAGTGACAGTGGTCTATTGAAACTTCCACGTTATCATTTTTCCAAATCTCTACTTACATAAATTTTTCTGTTTTAAGTTGTGTTTTTTTAATTAAATAATTTTGTCTACCGAACGCGGTTACCTACACAGTTTATGAAACATGTACAACTTATTACAAAGATATTTGATGATAAATAACTTAGTAATTATCAGAATGGCCCTTCATATATTTTTTTAAACGGTTACTAAGGTTACATGTCAATTATCAATAATAATTCATATTAAGCTTACATCCTATAACAATACAGATGATTGATACTATACTGTCCGAAATTTCTTTTATCATTTAATACTTTTATGATGATAAATATGGCTTGAATTAAAATATGTGAGGACGGTCCACGAGTGAACTCGAGGAAGCTCTAAGAAGCCCGGAAAGAGACGAAGATATTCCATCCAATCATCTTTTGGAAGAATATTCTAGAATCCCTACGTGTAGCTTTCCTATTGAACAGATACTAACAAACCTTGTATGAGGATTGGAGGACTATAATGATGATTTTGTTTTTCCTAAAGACTATAAATACCTTACAGTTTTGTACTATAATTGATACTGTTTGGAATAGCATTCCTTCTCATTTGTGACTTGGAGAGTTCTAGCGTTCGAGTGCTCAAATTATACGCAGTGTATCAAGTATCTAAGCTCTAGATAGAACAAAATGTGCTATGACTCATATGCCAGAACAATAATTTAACTGCAGATTAGTTATAAATACCACAAGAGGAAAACAGGAGCAATATGATGTCCAATTTTTATGTAATTGAACATTATGTGTAAGAGATGTAATGTTAAATGGTTGGGAAGTCAGCAGGTAACCTTGGACCTATGTTTCTGGTTACATGACATTGCTTGGAAAACTATTCGAATCACTATTAACCTTCTACGTGATTGAAATAGTTAGAATTGATAAGTTAATAGTTAGAAACTGTCATAGGCAGAACGGATTGAGCAATAAGGGCCAGACAAACACAAATCTGTTGTAAATATCTTACTCATCAGATTAAAACGTGAGGCTGGGTTATACGGTTTCAAGCGTTAAAGTGTACATCAGTTCCGTCAAGATGATGAAAAGTGACTAGAACGATGCCTATGGTAGAGTTCTGTATCGACTACTTCCAACCAACTAACAGGTTATTCTTATTAGTAAACAGAAAAATATCTTGTTATTACATCTAAATACATTTTACTAAAAAAAATTATCGTTTCCATCATTTCTTTCAGAATTTATGCAATGTATTTCGAAAAAAACTCTGGAAAATCGCTCCAACATATCCGTTTGAAGAGTGGAAAATGATCTGTATAAAATGTCCCCCTAGTTTCTATGACTACACAAATAAAGCATTAGGCTGTAGGGCTAAAAATCTCCGAATGTCCACGCAAATGATTATTATTCTGAGCAGTGAAAATAATTGTTAGACTCAACTTTATAATACACGAAACCTATGGCGTCACAAGTTGGAAACTATTGACTTACATAATGTTTATGAACTGAACTTATACCATAATGATTGACACAAATAAAGAATCATCCCAGTTTAATTAACTGATAAGAGTCTACTAAGGTAACATACAGGATTTATTAGTAATTATTTTAGCTGTGTTTGTAATTAGCAACAACCGATTCAAAGCAGCGTTCATCGAAGTGATGATCAGCCAGTACACCTAGATCCCTTAAAAATCATCTCTTCACCCAGACGTGAGTTCCAATCATGAACGACAGAAATGAAAAGCCTAGTAATGACTAGATAAGGTCTAAGAGTAAAATAGTAGCAACGATTCTGAATTTGTCATTTCGAATATCATTTGTTCCGTTTCGTATTGTACATTACTTACGACGTCAATTACCCTCATCGAGGAGCATAGAATGCACACTGTCCAGTTGATATTCATTATTTTGATGCCTTCTTTAAATTTCTAACGGAATGTGCCCCATAATCTTCCACATTTTTTCGTATTGTGTACGTGCATTAAATTTACATTACATTGGATTTGACACATTCTGTATCATTTCATGACTGTACGCATAATCTATTAAAAATTACCAGATTCTTTTATTCATTATTTTATATGGCTTCACAGACGTAGATATACATGGACATATATTTACTTGCACCATAGCTTCACCTCATATTTTAACATCATTCTTATTCTGTCCTGTTTAATACATTTCTTTTACAAATACAGAAACTGGTATTTTCTTTTACAGGATGGAATCATTATAGCACAACATCCACTTTTAATTCTGTGAACACTTCACTTTGTTAAGCTATTATTCACAATTATTATAATTATCAGAATG